TTGTAAATAAATGAAAATAATAAGAAATGAAATAAATAATAAAATATCATATATTTAAATGAATAATAAAATAAATGAAAATACAATAAAATTATTTTTTATTTTATCAATTTATCATTGTTTTATTTCATATTTATTGTTACCATTATTATTTGATTAATATTGTTATTTATTATTAAAATAAAATAAAGAATATAATTAAATTTATATTGATTCTTCATTATGATTCATCATTTCTATTTCATTATTCTTATGATTTATTTTATATTTGAATTAAATACCAAATATTTATATGAATTAAATACAATAATAACAATAATAAAAATAAAGAAGAGAGAAAATAAAAATGTGAAATGACATGATGTTTAAAATAAATAAGAAAGAAGAAATAAACAAAAGAATAAAATTAAAGAATAAAATTGTTACAAAACAAATATAAAGAATGAAATATTATTTAATAAGAGATGAAATATCAATTCAACATATTGAAACAAATAAATAATATGAAATAAATTAAAAATGAATAATCATAACATATTAATAATTAAATAAATGATGAATGATTTTATCACATTTCATTCATTTGATATTTCATTCTTTATTTTATTATCATTTAATTTGTTTATTATGTATTTCTTATCATTTAAATTATAAAATAAACATTCTTTTTATTCTTTAATAATTCAATTATCTTCTTTCTTTATTTCTTCTTTATTATATATAAAAGCAATTTTTTGGTATTGTTTTATTCTTCTTTAATTCTTCTTCACATCCACAATGATAAAAACATCCAACTCCAAATGATGTAATTGATGATGGTATATTAATTGTTTTTAATGATGAACATTCACAAAAACATCCATTTTCTATTTTACTTACACTTGTTGGTATTTCACTTTCTTGAATATCATTACATTCATAAAAACAATTAATTCCAAGTGAATTAACTTCTTTTTGTATTGTATTTCCAAATATATTTCTATATTTTCGTGTATATTCAATATTTTTATATTCATTCATTTCTTTTTTTCTCTTTTAAATATCTTGAATAACTCATTTTATACCATATTACATATTTAATTATTCTTCCATCTTCAAATATTTCATTTTCTTTTTTATAAATATGAAATGTTTCAATATTAGGAAACAATTTTCTTGAATATTGATTCAATGGAATTGGATTAAAATGAAATTGTTCCATATTTCCTTGAAATCTTTTAATTCCAATTTCTAAATTAATAAAATCTTTAATATCTTCAAAATACTTCGAGACAATCATTATTTCATTATATCCTAATTTCATTCTTTCTTTATTATTTTATTATTTATTAGTTCTTTTTTATTTTTAGTGTGAACTTATTTTATTTTTAAGATAAACATCATTCATTTTTTCTTTTTATTTTTTAATATAAATTATTAATAACAAATAATTTATATTTCAATAAATTATTATTTATTATTTATTTGATGAATATGAAAATAAAAAGATGCATTACAGGAGACACCACAAAAAATATAAAACAAATAACCAAAGAAGAAGAAATTCACATCAACCAAGAAATATAAATGACAGAAGAATGAGTGAAAATAGGTATTATCTGTATGGACAGAGATACATGAATAATCACACTAATCATTACAATAATAATTATCACCATAACTATCACAATATTGATGATACAAATTGTTTCACTCATCACTTCATTCATAATCATCGTCATAAACACTTTAATAATAATTTCAATAGAAATAAACAATACTATCATAATAGAAATAAATCCCACAATAACACACAAAGAAGATATAAACAATATCAAAATAAGAAACAAAACAGAAATCAAAGAAAAGAAATGATTGAAATACAAAATCAAGAATATTGGAAAAAACTCTTTGAAGAAGAAATTAAAATACTTACACCACAAGAAGTAGAAGAAATTAAAAATACCAAGATTAAAGAATATACATCATCAACAATATGGAGAAGATGGTATTTTCTTGCACTAGAAAAAACAAAAACAATCAGAATGGAAGAAGAAACTATTAGTATGACGATGGAAGAAGACAATAATCAATACAACCCAAATGAGATTAAAGACAATAAAACATAAAATAACTATGTAATGAGTGTTGAAAATAAAAATAAAGAAAAATATTGAAGAAGAGGAAGAAGAAAACAGTAAAAAGAAAAAAAGAGTAGAAGAAATAGAAAAGAAAGTGGAGGAGGATATGAAAGAGAAAGAAGAAATGAAATACAAATAACAGAATAAACCATTAAAAACTAACAAAGGATATTATGGCATTAAAGAAGAAACATAAAAATGATATAAACAGAAAAGTAAGAGTGTGATAAAAAATATTCAAATTCCATACTGAGTCTGAGAGGAAAATGTTTGAAATAAATAATTTAACACAACAATTACTCTTCCTGAAAGATAAATTATCTAAATTAGAAAATAAAAACACACATAGGAAGAAAAGAAGAAAGATGAGATAAATTACAACATAACAGACTCATCAGAAACACAAATTGTGAATGAACTCACCACAATGTGGTAGTGGTTGATGAAATAGGGTACGAAAATTAGCAAAGAAAAAATGCATCTAAATAATTTACAAAAAAGAAAAAAGATGCAAAAAAATTTGCATCCATAGAATATTCCACTTTATTATATTTTGCTCCTAAAATAAAAATAAAAAATAAAAAGTATGATAAATACAGAATATGTAAATATTTATGTTTATATTTTATAATCATTTGTATTCATTTTGTATGAAATATTAATGAAATAGATGATTTGATGAATCATATTTATTTTTATTATTTTTATTCTTTTATTTATATGTTATTTATTTATCTATCGTATTTTTATATATTTATTTCTCTGTTTATAATATGTATATCATTGTATTCTTCTTATTATCTCTATATTATTATATTCTTCTTATTTTATTATTTTTATGTTTATATTATTTAGATTTTCTTATTTTTATGTTTATATTATTTAGATTTTCTTATTTATATTCTTTTCTATTTAGATGTATTTGTTTATTCATCTTTATCATTTTTATATTCTTATCATTTATATCTATTTTCAATTTATATTTATTCTGTTTTTATTTATATTAATATTAATTTTATCTTTTATACTTTGATTTTATTATTATATCATTGATTATCATTTCTCCTTTTATTTATCATTTATTCTTATTATTCTTTTATTTTATATTCTATATCATATATTCATATCATTGTCATTTATATGTTATCACTTATTATATGTTATAATAACATAACACATATGTTTGATTATATAATAAACATCATAATGAAGTTATACATATAAATAATAAACATAAAAAAGAGTAAAATATTTTTCATTAATAAAATATTGTTAATTATTTTACATCATTAAATTAGACACTTTTATTTCATATTTCTAATTTTTACAATAAAAACACACTTTTTATTTCTTCTTTTCTTCTTTTATTACATCTTTGTGATTTATTACTTTTTATATTCTTTCTTCTACTTTCTTTTTATTCTTTTATATATTTATATTCTTTTTATATTATTTGTTTTCGTTGTTTTTATATTTCTTTCTTCTATTATTTATCAAAACTATATTCATTTATTCATTCTTTTTATTTCTTTTTTATTACTTCTTGAGTATTGTATATTTCTTTAATTTTCATTTA